TATATATATATATATTAAGAACAGAAAATCTGTTTCAAGAAATTTTGCTTTAAATCATTACTATTGAGAAAATAATTCAAGTCTTTGTGAGTAAATCGAGATTAGAAATTACTAGGATTCAAAATAAAAGTTAATACAAAGAAATTTTCAAATTCTTTACGACAAAATTGATGACAAGTTTTAATTTTTGCCAGGAACTTATGATCCTTGCTAAAAAAGATAAGCTTTTTAATAACTGTTTGCTTGCTGCTTTTCTATTTGTTTTCATTAACTAGCACCATCTTAAATTTTAATATTTGCTGTTCCTTTTTTTTATTTAGTAAAGCCTACAAGTTCCCTGACACATATCCTGAAAAATATAAAGATCCACTAGATGCATAGAAAAAGGTAATAAGGATAGAGAAATTATTATTAAAAATATGCATAAAATTGTTTTTAACTGTTTCTTTTTTTAGTAGATATAATGGTGATAAACAACCCTATGTAACATGTTTAGGGGATATCATCATTTTCTAATTAGTTCTATAAAAAAAAATTTCTTGCAAAACTTTGCTTTTTTGATCTGAACAAGAAAGAAGTTCAGTGCATTCAGTGGTCGCTCAAAATTGTTATAGTGGTAATTAACTCATCATCAAAGCTATGGAAATTTAGCTGGTTTAGCAACCATTCAAAAGCAGGGTTGCCACGGACAACCAACAATGTTAGAAGTGGTGACTAATAAAATTCAAAATTTTATTAAAAAGAGATTAAAATTAATAGCTTTTTCAAGCATATTTTTTTCAGTTTACTATTGAAAGTGGATGCAAAGAATGTTTTTGCTTTTAATACAAATAATTTAAAATGTAAATCGTACCGGCAGTTACGATTGACCAATAAAAGAGATAATAAATAAATAAAATGAATTGAGTTTCTACCACATTTTAAATTTTTTTTGTAGCCTGTGGCATCCCAGAAAAAGCAATTTACTTTCATCCTAATAATTGCTTTATTGAAAATATGTACATTTGCAGGCTTGTTCACTTAATTTAGGTTTATAAACCTTTATCAAGTAGAGAATACATCCAAAATTGCGGTGGGATTCGAACCGGCCACCTCCACGCATCGCACAGTGTTCGGTAACCGATACCGCTCGGTGATAACTGGTTTGTCTTATTTACTTGTCAACCAGTACAGATTCAATTCTCAAATATAGATGAATTTCTCTTAATTACTATTATAAAATGGAAATTGGGTTCATGAGCACAAATAGTTCACTTTTTAAGTAGTCTGCGCAGACTACTTCTAGAAAACTGTGTGAAGGCTTTCTGATGTAGGAGCTGATGGATGTAGAGCAAGCGTTGAAGTCTGTGTTGCATTTTCGAGTTCTGAAGAAGGATTTTTAATTTCTGGGATAACTGATTTGACATGATCTTTCCAACTAAACTTACTGTTTAAGACCAGACCAAGATATTTTACGCCTTTGGTAATTGGAATAGTTTTGTTAAAGAGAACAACGTGATTTTTTGGAGGATCGTTTTTCTTTAATTTTGGACAATTAGTAGTTTCCATTTTTGTCCGTTAAATTTAAACTTCTAGTCTAGACACCAGATTTCAATTTCCCTCTTTTTAACACTTTACCGACCGGTAGCGGTTCGAACATACTATGCCCTTTCACCGCCCGTTCAGCTGCAGATCGTCCGAGACACCGGCTCGGTTTCGGCCTAGACTGACGCGCGGACTTCACCACTAAATATCAAAAATTACAAATATGATATAAAATGCAACGTTAAATCATCCATATACTGGTTACTGTATTAAAAAGTAGGCGTAACTATCTTTCTTTAACTAATCTTACAAAATATTTTGCTACCACTTTATTAGAACTTTTCCAGAAAGCGGAGCAGTTGGCATCCCTGCCTTCATATCGATGAAAAAATCCCGACTTTCCTCGCAGGAAAATCTAGTCGCACCCAGCTGCACGATGAAAAATCCCGACTCTTTTCGCAGGAAAATCTGGTCGCACCCAGCTGCACTCGAGAAAACGACAGCTGAATTTTTTTCAGGGCATGCTGAATTGGTGGAAAACGTAGTCACCACAGATCGGTCAAAAGTCGATTAATCGACGACCGGTCGGTAAGCGCTGGGGAGCAAACGCTGAATAATCTACGGCCGGTCGGTATACGATGAGAACAAAACGTCGATTAATCGACGACCGGTCGGTAAGCGCTGAGAACAAAACGTCGATTAATCGACGGCCGGTCGGTAAAGTGTTAAAAT